GTCTGCTGCTTCCGCTGGGCTAAAAGAGCGAGGCTGAAGTTCCAAACTCTCCATGAATATTTGGTGGGTGTGGCCAACTCGACGTCACTCACTTTCATCAGTCACATGACAGCCCCCGAACCACGCCTACCCAGCTGGTGATTAGGGCACAGAACCGGTTGCTAAAAAACAATGGGAACCACAAAATCCTCCCTCTCTGTCTCCCCCTCTCTCTTTGTATCTCTCTATGTCTCTCTCTCTCCCCTCTCTGTCTCTCTCTATGTCTCTCTCTCTCCCCCTCTCTCTGTATCTCTATGTCTCTCTCTCCCTCTCTCTCTGTATCTCTCTCTCCCCCTGTATCTCTCTATGTCTCTCTCTCCCCCCCTCTGTATCTCTCTGTGTCTCTCTCTCTCCCCCCTCTATGTCTCTCTCTCTCCCCCCTCTGTATCTCTCTATGTGTCTTTCTCTCCCCCTCTCTCTGTATCTCTATGTCTCTCTCTCTTTTTTTTATTTTATTTTTTATTTTATTTTGAATTTGTATACCGCTCTTCTCCCTGAGGACTCAGGGCGGTGAACAGCCAAGTAAAAACATCAAGTACAAATATTAAAATACAGTTAAAATATACATATATAAATTTGGCCCCATTAATTAAAAACAATAAACAAAACACTTAAAAACACTTAAAAAATTAGGCCAGCCCGGCTTGCTGGAAAAGGAAGGTTTTAAGGGCACGGCGGAAGGCACTGAGGTCTTGGATTCTCCTTATCTCTGGGGGCAACTGATTCCAGAGGGTAGGTGCCCCCACAGAGAAGGCCCTCCCCCTGGGGGTCACCAGCCTGCACTGTTTGGCTGATGGCACCCCGAGGAGGCCCTCTCTGTGGGAGCGCACGGGTCGATGGGAGATCGTCGGTGGCAGCAGGCGGTCTTGAAGATAGCTAGGCCCTATGCCATGGAGCGCTTTAAAGGTGATAACCAACACCTTGAAGCGCACCCGGAAGACCACTGGAAGCCAGTGCAGCTCGCGCAGGAGCGGTGTTACATGGGAGCGCCAGGCTGCTCCCATCACTACCCGCGCTGCTGCATTCTGGACCAGTTGGAGCCTCCGGGTGCTCCTCAAGGGGAGCCCCATGTAGAGAGCGTTGCAGTAGTCAAGACGAGAGGTGACGAGGGCATGAGTGACTGTGCACAAGGAATCCCGATCAAGAAAGGGCCCTCTCTCTGTATCTCTCTCTGTCTCTCTCTCCCACCCTCTCTATCTGTATCTCTGTATGTGTCTCTCTCTCCCCCCCTCCCGGTCTCTCTGTATTTCCCTATGTCTCTCTCTCCCTCTCTCTCTGTTTATCTCTGTCTCTGGCCTGGCCTCTTCTGCATCCCCCGCCATCGCCCTTACCTTTTCAGGCCAGGCCTTTGCAGCGCTCCACAACACAGCAGAAACTTGGGGGCCCCCTCCGTCCTCCCTACACAGATGTTCTCTGGGGGCTCGATGGGGAGACGCATAGCAGGGAAGGGAAGGGAAGAGAGGGAGGGAGGGGGTACGGTGGGGGTTTGAGGCTGGTTTGGGGCTTCCCGCCTGAAGGAAGAAAGCAGCAAAGCCAGGAGCCAGGCACACCCCACTGGACCCCTGCTGTGCAGTTCTCCTCCCCCATCTGCCAAGGGCAGGGGAATGATTAAATTCCCCACTCTTCCAGGAGAAACGAAGGAGGGCCGGCCAGCCTCCCTCCTGCCCGTTTCCACCCCCTGAAGCCTCCCCGGAGCCCCTTTTCTGCCAGAGGCCGAAATTTTCATGTAGGCTCCATGAACTGCCAGAGTGCTCACCTGGGAATCAAAGGCGGTGCTGTTCAAAGGTGACCCCGGGGCTCCAGTTGCCTCCATCTCCCACTCACCGACCGGATTCGCATAGCGCTGGTTAGCAGCTGGTCTTTCTGACCTCGGGGCCCATGGTAGTGCTGGGCCAGGTGCGATTCAGGCCAGGCGAGGGATGGAGGGTTCCCGCTCGGCAGACCCAGGCAGCCTCGTTGCCAGGTGTTCTTTGGAGGGAGCCCTGAGAGTGGCTGGTGAGGGGGATGGGCAGCAGTGGCGGGCGAGGCTAGTTCGCGGGGTGGCCGGGGGAGGGGGAGGTCAGAGCCAGGCTCAGGCGGGCCCCACCCAGCCCTAGAAGCGCCGGCTGTGAGGGCTTCCTGGCGGGGAGCCGGCTGCCTACCTGCCGAGCCTGGTGGCAGGATATGGCCCTCGGGCGTCTCTGTCTTCCAAATGTGCAGTTTCTTGGAAGCAATATGGAGAGTCTAAATATAAGGAGCAGAAATCTGTTGAGCATAATCAGGACTGGGAGGCTGCCATGTTGGTTTTACGCCCAGCAGATGGCGCTGTTTTTCAATGTTTGTCAATATTTGTCAATGTCTTTCAATGTTTTCCCATGTTTTTCATGTTTTTACCTGTCACAGGTGTGACATGTATATAATATAGGTATATAAAAACACGCCTGTAGTTGAATGCAATGTTGTGTCAAAATTTGAAAGCAATCGGTGAAGAACTTTCAGAGACCCCCCCCCCATCCCATCTGCAAAAAACAGCTAAACCGTTTGATAACTTTTTGCCAAGTTCAACTAATTGGCTGATCGCAACACTGGCTGGCCCCACCCTGCCCCGCCCCGCCCCACCCCGCCCCACCCCGCTAACACTAAGACATTAATCACGTATGACTTGTTTTTTCTAAACTAAAATCTCATTATTCAGATTAACTTGCCGCGTTGGCACTTCACGATAAATAAGTGGGTTTGGGGTTGCAGTTTGGGCACTCGGTCTCTAAAAGGTTTGCCATCACTGCCCTGGCCTATACCTTTTCAGATAACCTACAGCTAAGCTTATCCATTCATTAGAGAATAGTGGATATTATTATTTTGTGGTAGCTTTGATCCAACAGTGAAGCAAGTCCAAGAAGACAGTGGTATATGGGGCATCTGTTCCATTCCTTGGTTTCTGATCTCTGGAATTCCTGCATTTTTCATCTTATTCTTTCTGTTAATTAAAATAATGAATCTGGAGTTGTATATCTTCGATATGCTTGTTTCTTGGCTCAGAATTTTCCTTTACTTGTGAGTCTGGGGAGATAAATCTATCTCAGCATCTACTTCTGTCCTATTATCGCAGCACCATTGAGAGTGTCCTGACATACGGCATTCTTGCATGGTATGGGAGCAGCTCTATAGCGGACAAAAAAGCTCTACAGAGAATCATTAAAACTGCTTAGAATATCATCGGGCTCCAGCTACCAGCCCTGGATGACATCTTCGAATCTCGCTGTTTGAGAAAGTTGCATAACATTCTCAGAGACTCTTCCCATCCTGCTTACAATCTTTTTGGACTGTTGCCTTCTGGCAGAAGATACAGAACAATTAAAACTCGGACCACACGTTTTCTGAATAGTTTTTATCCCAGAGCTATAATTGCACTCAACAATGAACTAAAGGGCCAACATCAGTGAGCTGTTGGACAGTGTTAGATCCGGCGCAGGGAACAGAAGACTGGACCAGCTCGATACATTAAGCAACTTTTATTCATTACAAAGTAGCGAGTCAAGACTGCTGGCGCGCTGCCGGAGCTCTCCTTATATTCGCTCCCGGCAGACGCACCGCCCCCTTGACAGGGATTCAAATCTCCCGCCCGATGGCTGGCAGCCAATCAGGGCGGATGTCCTTATAAGGACATAACACTCCTCCCCCCTTAGTCCGAAATGTCAATCTCATTCACAAACGTTACGTAGTCGCGCAGGTACGCCGGACGCCTCGGCACCCTAGCTGACCTGCGCAGTCTCACTTCTCCTCCGTCTCCGGCCTGGAAGGACGGGGCTCTTTCGTCTCCTGGTTCCCTCTCCGGAACCGGGCTCGGTTCGGCTGTCGAGTGAGCGGGGCCACCCCCAGCGCCTCCGGCCGGACCGCAGACCTTGGATCGCTGGTCCTGGTGGTCTTCCTCCTGTCCTGTGGATCTCTTGCCTCGCCTCGGCTGCTCGGTTCCGACCCGGGAAGAGTGTCTGAGTCTCGGTAAGTCCATTGCTTGCTCCTCCCTGGTCTCCCGGGCGCTGTGGTTCGGTCTCGGTCCGGCTTGCTGCCGCTCGGGTGGCGGTTCCGCTCGGTTCGGGTGGTGCTGGCTCTCGTTGTTGTTGTTGTGCCGTCCGACCTCACAGGGGTGGCGTTGGTCCCCTCGGTTGGGCTGGCGTCGGTCTACCTTGTCTGGCTGGCGGTGGTCGACCTGGTCGGGGTGTTGTTGCGGCGCTACCTCCGCGGGGGGGGCGGAGGTCTCCCCTGCCGGGGTGGTGCAGGTCTCCCTGGCCGGGTTGTTGTCGGCTTCCCCTTCCCCCTAGTCCCTGGTCTACCGTTGGTTGGTGCCTGGGGCCATCCTGGTCGGGGTGTCGTTTCTTGGCTGTCTCTTGTGATGGGCGGGGGTCCCCCACGTCGGTGAGTTGTGTGCCACCCTCGCCCGTGGGTCGTGGGTTGCCCGTCTTGGCTGGGTCCTGGTCTACTCGCCTTGAACTGCAGTCTCCCTGGCTGGGCTGGCATGGGCTGCTGTAACTGGTGGGGTGCGTTGCTCCTCCTCTGGGCAGGTCCCGGTCTACCTGCGGGCTGGGTTGGTGGTCCCTGGCCTTGCTGTGCCCGGTGCCCACCTGGCTGGGTTGTTGTTGCCATCCTCCGTGCGGTTGGCCCCGGTCTACCTCGCTGGGCTGCCGGCGTGACAGCATCTGGTAGTGGGCTGGGCCGACCTTGACGGGGTGGTGCTGCTCTGCCTCGCAGGGGTGTGGTAGGCCTACCTCGTCGGGGTGTCGTAGGCCTACCTCGCCGGGTTGTTGTAGGCCTACCGGGTCTGGGTGTGGTAGGCCTACCTCGCTGGGGTGTTGGAGGTCTACCTCATCGGGGTGTTGTAGGCCTCCCTCGTCAGGCTGGTTTTCATGCGCTCCCCCCCACCTTTTTCGGAGTTGGTCGATGTGATGTCTCGCGAACTGTCCATCTTCCAACTCGACAATGTAGGATTTGGGGCCGGTTGTGCTGGCAATCTTCCCCTTCAGCCACTTAGGAGAGCCGCTGAAATTCAGCGCGAAAATTGAATCTCCGTTGCTGAAGGCGCGAAGCGGGCGGCTGGCGGTTGCGGTCACTTCCGGGCTGTATTGGGGGTGCAGCCGGTCCAAGGGTGACCTCAACCTTCTGCCCATCAACAGTTCGGCCGGGCTCTTGTGGGTGGTGGCGTGTGGCGTGATGTGCTGGGTGAGGAGGAAATTGTCTATGCGCTCTTGCCAGTCCCCCGGGCCCATCTTGGTGAGGGCCTCTTTGGTCAGTCGGACCATGCGTTCCGCTTGTCCGTTTCCGGCCGGCCTGTAAGGGGCGGACAGGGCGTGGCGGATGCCCAGTCCCGCCAGGAAGGACTCCATGGCCAAGGATGTGAGCTGGGGGCCGTTGTCTGAGACCAGCACATCCGGTAGATCATGAGTGGCGAAGAGACGGCGCAGGGCTCGGATCGTCGCGTCCGTTGTGGTAGATGCCATGGGCACCACCTCGAGCCATTTGGAGAAGGCATCTACCACGATGAGGAGGTGTCGCCCCTGCATCGGACCCGCGAAGTCAATGTGGACCCTCGACCAGGGGTTGCTGGGGGTCTCCCACTTCGCGACCTCGGATTGCGGCGGCGCTGGGCGAACTTCTTGGCACGGGTCACATCTGGAGACCCATTGTTCAATGTCTTTGTCCATGGAGGGCCACCAGACATAACTCCGTGCCAGTGCCTTCATGCGGACGATGCCCGGGTGCCCCTTGTGCAAGGTCTCCAACGTTCGCCGTTGCAGAGTGCTTGGAATCAGCACCCTGTCTCCCCATAGCAGACAGCCCTTCATGGTGGACAGCTCCTCCTGTTTCCTGGCGAACGGGCTGAACCTTTCCTCTGGCTTTCCCGATGGCCACCCTCTGAGGATCCAGGATTTCACTTTGCGGAGTGTGGGGTCCTTTTGGGTGTGGACGGCCACATCTGCGGATGACACCGGGCAGCTGGCGTCGTCATCAATGTGCAGTAGGTGGAGCGTGGGGGCTGGGTCTTCGACCGGCTTCTTCGACGGGCATCTGCTGAGGGCGTCAGCGTTTCCTATGGCTGTGCCTGGCTGGTGCACGAGCCTATAGGAGTAGCCAGCTAGGAAGATTGCCCATCTCGTCATTCTTGGGGACATGAAGGTCGGGGTTGGTTGGTCGCCTGCGAGGAGTCCCAGGAGAGGCTTGTGGTCTGTGACTATGGTGAAGCTTCTTCCGTATAGGTATTCGTGGAAGCGCTTCACTCCAGCCACGATGGCCAGGGCTTCTTTGTCCAGCTGGCTATAGTTCCGTTCTGCGCCGGACATAGTCTTTGAGAAGTACGCGATTGGGGCTTCCGAGCCATTGGGCAGTTCGTGGCTGAGGACTGCCCCCACCCTGTAAGGCGACGCGTCGCAGGTCAGTCTGATGGGGAGCGTCTCGCTGTACTGAATGAGGACGCTTTTGGACGTCAATAGTCCTTTGATGGCCCGGAATGCCGCTTCCTCTTCCTGGCCCCACTTCCAGGAAGCCGATTTTCCCAGCAGGCGGTGGAGTGGCTCAGCAACTGTGGCTTTCTGTTTTAAGAAAATGGCGTAAAAGTTGAGCAACCCAAGGAAAGCCTGAAGCTCCGTTTTGTTTTTTGGGCTTGGAGCTTCATGGATTGCTTCCACTTTTGATTTGGTGGGGTGGATGCCTGTGCTATCAATGAGGAAGCCCAGGAACTCGACTTCCTGTACCCCTATGATGCACTTGTCCCGCCTGACCCTCAAACCCTTGGCCTTGAACCACTGCAGGACAAGCCTGAGCCTTTCAAGGAGTTGGGTTCTTGAGTCACCGGAGATGAGCACATCATCGAAGTAAGGCACCACCCCTGGAACGCCTTGGAGAAGGCGTTCCATCATGGATTGGAAGATGCCAGGGGCAGCGCTGACTCCAAATTGGAGGCGGTTGCATTTAAATGCCCCCCTGTGTGTGACAATTGTTTGAGCCTCCGCCGTTTTGTCATCCACTGGCAGTTGCTGGTAAGCCTGGGCCAGGTCCAGTTTCGCGAAAATTGCTCCAGATCCCAGGGAATGCAGCAGATGTTGCACCACTGGGACTGGGTATGCGCTCTGTGCCAACGCCTTGTTGATGGTACAACGGTAGTCAGCACAGATGCGCACAGACCCATCATGCTTCAGTGGGGTCACAATGGGGGTCTCCCATGAGGCATGATCGATCGGTTCCAGGATGCCCTGGGCGATCAGCTTATCCAGCTGCTCGTCTACTTTGGGCCGCAGGGCAAATGGAACTCGGCGGGGCTTGAGCCTGATTGGGGTGATTCCCTTGTCCAGATTAAAGGAGATTGGCCTCCCCACAAATTTCCCCAGCTTACCATCGAAGACTTCTTTGAACTCTTCGATGATGGAGTCGAGTTCGTCCCTGCGGATCTCGTGGATGCCCTGAAGTGAAAGTCCCAGCGGCTTGAACCACTCCACACCCAACAGGTTCGGTCGGCTGTGCTGTACAATGGTGATGGGTAGCTTTCCGTTGAGGTCGTTGTACTTCACCCGGATTGTGGCTCTGCCTAGGATTTCAATGGGATTCCCGTTGAAGTCCACGAGTCTCGCCTTCGGGTTTTTTAGCTGGGTCCTTTTGTATGCCGGGTTCAGCTGCTGTAGGTGCTGCCAGTCCATGATGGAGTAGGCGGATCCAGAGTCTACCTCCATCTTGCATGGTGACCCCTCTGCTAGCAGCGTCACGTGGAACTTCGTGGTTCCCTCGTCGCTTGTGTGAGCAATGGTGGTGGTCTGGTGCACCGTTCTGTTGCGGGGATATTCCTCCTCCCCGCGCCGGGACTGGTTTGAGGACCGTTTGGATGTCCTCTGGTTATCTTTGCGATTTTCCCTGAATCGTGGTCTGGGTGGTTCCGGGGCTGGATCTGTGGCTCTGCAGGCCTCTGCGATGTGGCCCCTCTTCAGGCATCGGCGGCAGGTCGCGTCCCTCCATCTGCAGTTTGCCCTGGGGTGGTCGCCTCTGCAGCTGCCGCATCGCTCTCCCCGGTCGCCATGCTGTGGGTTTTCCCGCCTGGGGGGGCGGGACACCTTGTGGACGGCCATTTCCTCATCAGACTCGGATTGAGTGGTTGCCTCGTCTGATGAGGTCGGGCCCGACTTGTGGATCTTATGGATCCCCCTTGCTTTTACCATCGCGGCGGCTGCTTGCTCAGACGTTTCAGCCGCCGTTGCCTCGTCGAGGACATCTTTGAGCGGAATCCTCCTCAGCCCCACATCTCGCATTCCAAACACAATGCGGTCCCGGATGGCATTGTCCACATTGTCGAACTCGCAGTTGGCAGCGATTTGGCGAAGCGCTGCCACGAATTCCTTGATGGATTCACCTTCCCGCTGGTTTCTTTGCTGGAAGGTGAACCTGTTTGCGATGGGGGTGCCTGTAGGTGCATAGTGCTCCTGTAGGACTTCTTGAAGGTTGTTCCAGGACATCTCCTCGATGTCCCTGGGTGCCACGAGGTCAATCGCCATCTCCAGAACGTCCGATCCGCAATGAGCCAGGAAGAGGGCTCTTTTTCTCTCCTCATCGAGGTTCTGGTATCCATTGCCTCTCAGGAACTGCCGGAATCGGACCATGTATGACCTCCACTTCTCCCGGGATGGGTCGAACGGGTTCAGCGCGGTCATCGGGGCTTGCGGGGTAGCCATTCTGTAAGATCGCTGTGGTGTGGTGATTTGTTCGGTGGGCGATCGTGCCAAGAGTCTTGTGAAGGTTCTTCTCTCTAGTCCTTCGTCGCCAGTGTTAGATCCGGCGCAGGGAACAGAAGACTGGACCAGCTCGATACATTAAGCAACTTTTATTCATTACAAAGTAGCGAGTCAAGACTGCTGGTGCGCTGCCGGAGCTCTCCTTATATTCGCTCCCGGCAGACGCACCGCCCCCTTGACAGGGATTCAAATCTCCCGCCCGATGGCTGGCAGCCAATCAGGGCGGATGTCCTTATAAGGACATAACAGACAGCATTACTTGGTCTGTTGTGTGGATGTTTGAGTGGTTTAGGGGTGGGGAATTTATGGTGAGTGGGGCTGGGGATGCTTGGGGATTGTTATGTGTGTTGGACCTGGTCTTTGGGTATTAAGTGAATTTCGTTGTATGGGTATACTATGTATACATGTACAACGACAATAAAGTTATTATTATTATTGTGGCAATCTTGAGCCAATCCAAAATAGAATTAGGGTGGATGGGAACTACCAAGTAACAATCTATTCCAGACATGAAAGAAATTATGGTGGTCAACAAGAAAACCAGTGTCAGATATGGAGCACTATCTGTTCTCAACAAGTTCACTTCATTCTTCTGAGCCTCGACCTGGCATTGCTTCTGAATTTCTGGCAACTGCTGCCAGAACTGCTTTTCCAGTGCTTCAACTAGTCAACCACCTACATCTTTTCTGGGTTATGAACTTGGGGCTTTCTACAAAATCAGTTCACTTTGGATCTTGAACAGCAATCTATTATTAAACAGGTTCATGTCAGGAGTGGGTTCTACTTACCTTTACTACTGGTTCACAACGGGCTCGCGCACATGCACAGATCGCTCATTATGACATCTGGGCGGGTGGGCGGAGCCTCCCACCACTTTTACTACTGGTTCGGAAGAACCGGATAGAACCAGGAGCAACCCACCACTGATTCATGTGTTCTGGAAGCCCCAAAATGCAACTGTCATTAATAACCAATCATTTGTAAAATAATATTTGAGGGCTAAAGTTAAAAGCCCTCGTTATATATTTATGTAAGTCATCACTGTCCTTTGATGAGTTTCAGTAAAATTAATTAAAATAATGTGATTTGTCATTATAATCCATTTGATATATTTATTTTTATTAATTGGATAAATTCATATAGTTAATAAATATGTGGAAAAGAATAGACATCTGAGCTCATGCTTCCCTCCTACAAAAAAATCTTTATCTAAACAAGGGGCCTCGAGAATGACAGCTAAATTGTTATTTCAACTGTTATCAAGAACAATCTTGGTTCCCAGCACCTAGTATTAATGATCATCAGGCATTTATTGTAATTGAAAATGGCTGGCTTCCATTATTGACATTAGCACTTCATTTATCCTGTTTGTGCTTTTTCCTTCAAGTTTATCTGACAATTCCAGACCCCCAATTGCTTTTAGATGAATCTGAAAATATTTACAGGCAAGGGTCTAAATTGATCCATTTTTATTCTTCCTATAAGACTATTTCTAGGGGGTGCAAAAAGACATTGCAAGTTTAGAAGGAGGAAAAGGGGGGAAAAGTGGTTAAAACCAAATTAGAACCAGTACTTGGAAATGCAACAAGAGTCATAGGAAATAAATCATTTATTAACTTATTATGGCATAAACATTTGTGGAGTGCTGCCTTATCAGATACATGAAGTTTTCTGGCCCTGTCAATGGCATTTTATCTGGCCATTTGGTAAAAATGTGATGTCTGATCTTTGATGGGGAAATACATTTTTGGGGGATGTGACTGTTTTAAGAGGACTGAGAGTGGCAAGATCAGAAACAAGCAGTTGAAAAATGTTAACAAAACATTTATTAGCTGAAATAATAAAAGTGGTTTCTTTTATTGAAGCTTCAAATAAAAGCAACTTCTTTGTCCAGATGTTGTTGGAATGTTTCGCTTTTATCTCCTGAGTACAGGTTTAAATTCCTAAAGAGAGGTATTTGTGTACCATGGGTGAAGGACTGAAACTTTTAATATAATCTGACTCCCTGAATTATTCCAAAGATGATACAAAACAGGAAGAAAATGTTCAAGAGTTTGTACAAAAAAAAAGAGTATACTAGCAATGAAACATGAGTATTTGTTAAAAGTATTGACCTTGTTCTGCTGAATAAAGTTGTGGCCTTCATTAGTCATTGACCTTCGTTATTGATCTTCTTTATTTTTTATCTTTATTATTCTTTGGATGGCTTTCTGAATCTCTTTGTTCCTTAAAGTGTAGATCAGTGGATTAAGCATGGGGGTGACAAAGGTATAGAAGAGGGAAATCATCTTGCCTTGGTCGCGGGAATAATTGGATGGAGATTGGAGATAACTGGAGATGGCTGAGCCATAGAAGAGGGACACCACCATCAAGTGGGAGGCACAGGTGTTGAAAGCCTTACTTTTGCCTTCAGCTGAGCGGATTCTCAGTACTGCAGCCACAATATAGCTGTAAGATACTGTGATGAGGCCCAGGGGTAGTAGAAGAAACACCACACTTGAAGCAAAGAGCTCTGCCTCGTAAAAAGAGGTATCCACACAGGCCAATTTGATTAAGGCTGGTACCTCACAGAAAAAGTGGTCTATCTGGTTCTGCCCACAACGTGGAAGACTAAGAGTCATGACTGTTTGAATTACTGAATTGCTGAAGCCACTTCCCCAGGAGACAGTAGCCAATGAGAAACACAGAGACTGGCTCATAATGGTAGTATAACGCAGTGGATGACAGATGGCGGCATAGCGGTCATAGGCCATGACAGCCAACAAAATACACTCCGTGGAGCCCAGAGCAAGAGAGATGTATAACTCAGCCACACAGGCACCATAAGTTATAGTCTTGTTTTTTCTCCAGAAGTTCATCAACATATGGGGCCCGAGACTGGTGGTATAACAAAGGTCAAGAAAGGAAAGGTTGCTGAGGAAGAAATACATGGGGATATGGAGATGAGGATCTAATCTTGATACGATAATGATGGTTGTGTTGCCCAACAGAGTTATCATGTAGCAAGTCAGAACAAGTCCAAAGAGCAACATCTCCAAGTAAGGGCGGTCAGCCACTCCCAATAAAATGAATTCTCCATGATAACTTTGGCTACTTTCTTTCCATGATGCATTTTTGTAGAACATCTGCTTAAAAAACAAAGCAAAACATAATAACAGAGCTGGAACGGACATTGGAGGTCTTCTACTCCAACCCCATGCTCAAACAAGAGACCCTACGCCATTTCAGACAAATGGCTGTCCAATCTCTTCTTAAAAATCTTAAAAATCACCCACAATTTTTGGACACAAGCTGTTCCATTGGTTAATTGTTCTACTGTCAGGAAATTTCTTCTTAGTTCTACGGTAGGTATGTTTTCTCCTTGACAAGTTTCCAATCATTGCTTCTTGTCCTGTTTTCAAGTGCTTGCAAGAATAGGCTGACCCCCTCTTCTTTGTGGTAGCCGTTCAAATATTGAAAGACTGCTATCATGTCACCCCTAGTCCTTCTTTTCACTAGACTAGACATGTCCAATTCCTGCAACCGATCTTCATATGTTTTAGCCTCCAGTCCCCTAATCCTCTTTGTTACTATTCTTTGCACTCTTTCTAGAATCTCAACATCTTTGTAATATTGTGGTGACCAAAACTGGATGCCTTACCAAAGCATTATAAAGTGGCAAGATCACTTCACGTGATCATGATTCTATCCCTCTGTTAATGCGACCTAGGATAATACACATGAAAATAAATAGATCACCAACTATTGATCTATGGTTCAATGGAAGGCTATAAAGAAGTGATATAGAAAGAATTGTGGTTTGATTGAGCAGCAAATATAGCTTGTGACATGAATCTGTGATCCAGAAATATAGTTAATCTTGGTCATAGCTAACTATATCTTTTAGCTCTTCAATCCTCAGTGAATTACTAAGTGAGAGGGGAATATAGTAAAAATGGTTTTGCTACCCAGATATTTGAACTGAATTCATTGTACAGGATTGAACAAAATACGTTTCTTCTTACACATTTTCCTACCTTGATTAAGAGTCCAAGAAGTACAAAAGGAGTGGAATAAATCAAATCCTCAATATAGTCATAGAACAAAGTTGAAACATGGCACCTGTTTGGATGTTAAGACCTAACAAAATCACCTCTGCTTTTGTGAAGCTATAGTTTGATTTAGAGTACCATTAATAATGTCATTCAAAAAATCAGCAAGCTTTTGATTAAGTTAACCACCTGCTGATTTCTTTATGGCATTGTTTCTGTTAGGGCATGACTTCCCACCTTATTTGATTCTTCTGTGAATTTCCCCCTAATGTCTTCTCCATCTATTTTTTTCTCACTTCTTTCTTTACATGTTTCCAACCTTTTATTCTTTGAGGATCATCATGCTTCCTCTTGCAAAGGGAGGAGACATCATCCTGTCTCCCCCCTTTTCTCTTTTTCATTCTTATTTTCATCTTTAAAAATAATTTCTGATGTCCCTTCCACCTTACATATAAAAATTCTCTGAACAAATGATATATGAGAACAGTGTTATAGTAAGCCTTAGCTCAGAAAAAAATTCTAGGGAGAGAATTTTCATGACAAACCATCTACTGTGTTTCCCCGAAAATAAGACTCTGTCTTATATTTTTTTGAACTCCAAAATAAGTGCTTGGACTTATTTTCAGGGAGGTCTTTATTATTTTGGGGTGCATAGAGCAAGACAGGGATCCTCTTGCTGTCTGACCTGATTTCCAGCTCTGTATCCCTAACCCTAACCAGAGGAAATGGCAGGGACTGGCTGCACATGTGTTTAAATATATTTGGGGAGGGCTTATTTTCAGGGGACAGTTTATTTTGGGGGGAAATCTTATTTTCGGGGAAACATGGTATGACAATACAGGTCACATTGCATGTTGAAGGTACAGATTCCACATTGGAAAAAATATTCATATACAAATATACAATTAGGATATAATGTCATGTCATGTCATGTCACGTCACATCACGTCACAACACAACATAGCAACAATAATAATTATATATGTAAGGGTAGAACTACATAACCCATGACCCATGTAGTTAAGGATAGACCCATAACCCTGACCTTATAATTTCATTATTCGTGGTTTAGCTCTGGATAGATGGAAGCCTTCAACACTACAAAATAAAGTAAGCATCTCTCGTACAAGATAAGAGGAGGAAGAGTTTCCTGGGCTATCCCTGAACTGTGAAAGAGAGGAAGAGAAGCAAGCAAGCAAGCAAAAAAAAAAAAAGGGAAAAAGGAAAAAGGAAAAGGAAAAAAGAGAGTTGTAGAAGGATGCAGACTATTGTGGTGGGATGAGGGCAGTGCAACAAAAATGATGGGAAAATGAGAACTGGAAAGCTTGCTAAGAACGCAGTGGAAGAGTAAATGGTTTAATCCAATATATTGAATTAATGAATAATTACACCTTCGTGCATCTCCATCAGAGATCAGGGTATTACGGTCTTTATTACGTTATTCTGTAGGCAAATGCAGGTTTTATGTTCTATTATCAGCATAGGCAATTCTCATAGAACATGTTTCTGGTTTACATTCTACACTACCTGAAACTCTGTGGTTTCGTCCCCAAACCCCCATAACTTTAACCTTAGACTGTCTACTGTGGACCTCACCCCATTCCTAAGAGATCTGTAAGGGACGTGCATAAGCACACCAATGTGCCTACCATTCAGTGGCGGGTTGTTCCTGGTTGAATGTATGAAATCATGTGGTTGCTGAAGATGGAGCATTTGTGACTTAAGTCACGAGATGCTGAGAATTCAGTGCCATTGGATTTGGACCTCCAAGAATAGAGTCCACCAATTAAGCATGAACTGAGTTTACTGGGGGGAAAGGTTCAAGCCACTCCCCAAATATGGGAATGATCTGGTCATATTAGATTCCTATCTGTCTGTTTACACTGGTTTCTTTTTCTATTTCATTACTTATTCTAGTGTACATAGAAAATGAACAAGGAAACCTCATGGGAAGAAAGTAACCAATGCTACCAAGAAAGATTCTTTTTTTTTTAGTGTGTCTGAATTAAATATTTCAATTTTATTAAATTGAAATATTTTATTAAATTTTATTTATAAAAAATTTAATTTTATAATTAAATTTTAAAATTTAATTATATATAAATTTAAAATTATTTAATTTTAAATTTTAATTTTATTAAAAAAAACAAAAAACAAATTCCGAACTGAAAAGGTGGTGGAATGAAATGAAGTACAATGTTACGCGGAGAGAAAAAGAGCAAGAGAGTCAAGGAAAATATAAGAGAAAATGGAACAGAAGAAATTGGAAAGCAGGAGACACCTGTAGGTAAAGATTGAGATGATCTAAAAGTTTAGAGACATCTATATAAGGATCACCAACATGATCGCCAACGTCCGATGACTGATATGGCACAAGAAGAAGATATAATGATACTCTGAAACGTAAGAAGGAAAATATGGCATTAATCTCTACTACCCACCCTACCAGTTCCTCTTCTGATCAGCCTCTTTAATTCAGCCTTGGTTATTCTGGTTCAACACTGCATCCCAAGATACCAGCTGTGACTATGCAGAGGATCCTGTGCTGCAGACAGCAAGAACTCTTTTTCTGGATGTCAGCATGGACAAGGAAGCGATTATCTTCTTATTGTCTGCTGCATTCGGAAGAAAAACCATCAAGAACTAGAATCCTAACATTAATTAGGAGAGAGATTAATCATCGCAGGCATGTATTTCCCTTCCCCAAAAGGCCTTTCACCCTTGAGTAACGTCCTCTGAAGTGATGATGATGGATTTATTCAGTAAACTTTGTATTCTTGGTAAAATATTGTCCCAGGAGTTTCTTTTTCTGGATTTGCCTACTGGACAGTTGTCACCTGACAAAATTAAATGGCTTTGGGTATGCCCAGGATCTGGGACTTTGTCACCTTTGACTCAGGATGGGATGGCACTCCCCCAGAAAGACTCGGTCTGAACCTTGGGGGTTCTCCTGGACTCACAACTCCTGTTCAAGGAACAGGTGTCAGTTGCTGCTAGGAGAGCCTTTGCACAAGTTCATGTTGCCCACCAGTTATAATACAGTTGTGGCTGTACCTTGCCGATGAAAATCCAAAAGTCAGACAGAGGCTCTTTCCGTCCTCCTCAAATGGCTTTTTAGATTGCTTGGATAATTAACATATGAGCCAACGGTGGCACAGTGGTTAGAGTGCAGTACTGCAAGCTACTTCTGCTGACTGACTGCAATTTGGCAGTTCAAATCTCACCAGGCTCAAGGTTGACTCAGCCTTCCATCCTTCCAAGGTGGGTAAAATGAGGACCTATATTGTTGGGCCAAAATGTTGACTATTTAAATCACTTAGAGAGGGCTGTAAAGCACCGTGAACCAGTATATAAGTCTAAGTGCTATTGCTATATGATAAAATTTTAAAAATTGCCCTTTCATCTTCCTTAAAGAATTAATTAGCCCTTCCCTGCATATCCCTTCTACACCACATTGGCACATAAGAAGTGAAACCAGCTCTGAGGTCCCCCCCCCCCAAACACACACAATTCATTTCCCCTTTCCCTACGGGCCACCCACAGTCCATTATGTCCACCAATCACTTCTGTTCGTTTTGTTTTGGGAACCAGCTGATCACACTGTGGCATCTGCTCTGGTTGTCCTTGAGTAGGGGAGCACACGGGAACCAACAATGCTGGGAAGCCATTCCTCCCACCCTTGCATTCCAATCTGCAGCCACCCCATTCTTTGTCAAGCTGCGAGCAGAACAGAGTATAGGTATAAATTCAAATTGAACAGTCTTGAACAGTCAAAGCTTGTTGTCTCTCATCCAGGCCCCCACAGATTCCAGGAACCGCTGTACAGAAGATGCCTTTTTCACAAGCCCTGAAAAGACAGAGTTGACACAAGATGAAAGTGTGCTATCCACAACAACCTAAACCAGGGGTCGGCAACCTTAAACACTCAAAGAGCCACAAAGGTCCTAACCGGAAGCCCCCCGTTCAATTCTGGAGCTGACCGGAAGTCCGGTTCCTCCACCATAGAGTCTCCTCCTAGTGTGGCGTCCTTTTTCCTCTACTAGTCCTAATCCTATTGTGGGCTAACCTGAAAACTTGCCCCTTGCCATAGAGTTTCCTCCTGGCATGCCCTGCTCTCCCTCCACCCCAAAGTGGAAGCTCCTCTCAAAATTGTGGTGCCGACTGGTGATAGGGAGCCGCAGCAAAGGGAAAAAAGAGCCACATGCGACTCCAGAGCTACAGGTTGCTGATCCCTGAACTAAACATACTTCAGAAAGAAAGTCCTGACTGTCTGCTTTGGGGTTTATATGCTCTTTAATGTACAGTCTTCTGCACTGCTATGGTATTTAGATACGTTACATTTTTATTATGAAAAAAGAGAGAGGAAGGAAGGTACAATCAAAACTAATGCAAGACTAACAAAGATTATTCCTGTTGAACCTTCAAATGCAGTTTCCAGTCATATGTTTGTTTATTTCTTCTTCACTAGTCTTTGGAGGACCTTATGCACTTCTTTGTTCCTCAGAGTGTAGATCAGTGGATTAAGCATGGTGGTGACAAAGGCATAGAAAAGGGAAAACTTCTTGTCTTGGTCACCTGGGGTGTTGGAATGATGCTGGAGATAACAGAAGATGGCTGTGCTGAAAAAGAGCACCATCAGGTGGGAGGAACAAATGTTGAAGGCCCTCTTCCTGCCCTCATCTGAGTGGATTCTCAGCACCGCAGCTGCTATACAGGTGGGCTGATCATCACTGATCAGCCCATCTTCTTCAGCCCAGCATCTTAGCTCTTCCAAATCAGCAGTGCTCCAGAAGATTTAAGGATATCCTACAGACACACATACAATAGCCAATCCGAGAAGGCAAACATGGATCAGGATAGTAGTGAAGTAAGTTGACCTGAAAAAGAGAGAGAGATGGAGAGGGACAGATTTGACAACAAGCAAATGGACACAGCTAATCAAATCTTATTTTTCCATATAGAGAAACCCACATAATTAAGATATAGTTGAATCTGTTTGGAGATTGGCATTGCACATGGCAGTCAATTTAACCAAGTATAAATCTTACTATCTCATTTAGTAATTACATATTAATTCCCCCCACCAACTCTGCACACTTAAATAAAATAACAGAAGCCAGAGCGATGATTTTAGGCAATCGATTTATGGTGGGAAACAGTGGGAAAATATTAATTAGGAAGGAATGATTGTATGATAGGTGTGATTTGATTGTGAAATTCTAACTTTTTGGTTTGTCCTTTCCCCTTTTGACTTTAATGTATAATTTTTGAAATAAAAAATTCACAGATTAATCCATGACCTCAGTGCCTTCCGCCGTGCCCTTAAAACCTTCTTTTTCCAACAAGCCGGGCTGGCCTAATTCTTTTTAAGTGTTTTTAATTGTTTTGTTTATCGTTTTAATTAATGGGGCCAAATCTATATATATTTTTTTAACTGTATTTTAATATTTGTATTTGATGTTTTTATTTGGCTGTTCACCGCCCTGAGTCCTCAGGGAGAAGGGCGGTATACAAATTCAAAAAAAAATAAAAATAAAAAAAAAATCTGAATATTTCTTAGCATATATGTTTTTGTACACATTTCCTACGTACAAGGTTTTCCACAATATAATAATTTTCACTATGCAGATTTTTGAAATATATATTTTTATACACACAGCCCCTTAGAATGATGTCCTGTATTGTTCTCTGTGTATATGTGTAACTATGCATGAGTAAAAACCATATCACAGTGTATAGATTTTATTGTTTAGCTGCATTCCAGTTTGCATATCTTAGGAACTATAAATTCCCCAATTTTATATTAAAATACAAAGCAAATTAACTTCTTCCTTGTTATTAATACAAATGTTAATGTTTGTAAAAAAATATGCCCAAAAGAGGTAATATTTTATAATGAACAAACTCAAAAATCATGTTGACAATTTGGATGACCTTAATGACCTACATTAAGAACTGAGAGATTTACTGTAGCTTAGGCTCACTTTTGGTAAAGTCACCTGTAATCAATGAAAATCTAGGTTACAAATATATTTCCTGATCAACATTCACTTACTTCATATATATATATATGTGTGTGTGTGTTTTCTGCGGTTTTCACGGGTGTTTGTATGTAGGTCTTTGGTTATTCGGGTTTTCTCCCATGTAAAATTGGAAGTGTCTTGGCGACGTTTCAGCGAAGTCTCATTCGTCATCTTCAGGCTGGTGTTTTCGGCTTCGTGCTTCTAGGAGCAATGTGAGATCGCAGCTGTTTCTTCCTTTTAACCGCTAGTGGGGGTGTGAACTGATTGGGTGGGAGCTTGGCTGTGTTCTGACTGGGTGGAGGTGTGTTCTGATTGGATGGGGGTTTGGCTGGGCTCTGATTGGATGAGGGGTTGGCTGTGCTCTGATTGGATGGGGGTGTGTTCTGTTTAGGTGGAGGCTTGGTTGTGCTCGTGTTAGTCTGAGTTGCAGGGGGATTTGAGCTGGTGAGCTGGGTTGCTGTTGTTTGGCTTCGTGTTTGTGGTCATGCCACATCTTCATGGTGGGTGTCAGTATGCTTCATGTATGGATTGGAGGGATTTAAAGTGGCTAATGATGCAGCTATGGTCTGGCTTCTGGTTTGTGGTCGTGCCTCATCGGTGTGGGTTTGCTTTTTGCGTGGATGTGTGGTGGTGACATCCTGTGTAGTTTTCGTGAGTGTGGGTCTGATGTCATTCTTTGTGTTAGGGACTCATTTGTCAATGAGGGCGGGTTTCCAAATGGCTGGTAGGCGGGAGGTATCATCTCGTTTATTCATGCTGTATGGGTGTTTTTCTATCTCGATGGCTTCTCTGATTATTCTGTTGTTAAAGTGTTCAGTTTTGGCGATAGTTCTGGTCTTTTTAAAGTCAATATCATGTCCTGTGGCTTTAAGGTGTTGGACCAGGGAAGAAGTTGGTTCCTCTTTTCTGACTGAGTTCTTGTGTTCTTCAATGCGTGCACTTATTCTTCTGTTGGTTTGTCCGATGTATGCGGTGGGGCAGGCAATGCATGGGTTTTCATAAACTCCTTGATTTTCTAACTCAATTTTGTCTTTGGGGTTCTTAGGATGGTGGATATTTTTTTGGTTTGTGCTGTCTTGATGTTGTGTTTGTGGAGGATCTTGCTGAGTCTGTCTGTGGTGCCTTTTATGTATGGGAGGAGGGCTTTGCCGTTTTCTTGTTCTCTGTCTTGGGTTTTAGTGGGGGTTTCTTTTTGGATTAGGTTGGTAATCTTATTTCTTTGGAATCCGTTGGATGTTAGTACGTTAGTGAGAGTGTGTAGTTCGGTTTTTAGGTGTTGTTTGTCAGCTAAGCGTTTTGTTGTGGAGATGAGTGTCTTGGCTACGGAGTGGATCTGTGCTGGGTGGTGGTGTGAGAGTGCGTGCAGATAGCGGTTTGTGTGTGTTTTCTTCTGGTAGATGGTGTGTCCTAGGGAGCCATTGGATTTCTTGTAGTCTAAGACATCCAGGAAGGGAAGTTGGTTGTTAGCTTCTGTTTCTATGGTGAACTGTATTTTGGGGTGTAGGCTGTTGAGGTGTGTGAAGAAGTTGCCCAGTTTTTCTTTCCCGTGTGGCCAGATTATGAAGGTGTCATCTACGTATCTGAGCCAGAGTTTGGGTTTGTGATCAGATTTTTCTAGAGCTTGGGTTTCAAAGTGTTCCATGTAGAGGTTTGCAATGACAGGTGAGAGGGGTGATCCCATGGGTGCTCCTTCTATTTGTTTGTATTTTTGTCCATTATAGATGAAGTATGTGTTGGATAGGCAGTGGTTGGTCAGATCTAGGATGTGCTTGGGGGGGTTATATTTGTTTTGGATAGCTGTCAAGGCTTCTTTGATTGGCACTTGGGTGAAGAGGGATATGACATCGAAGCTCACGAGTAGGTCGCTAGGCTGTAAGTTTTGTTTCTTTATGATCTCTATGAACTGGAATGAGTTTTTTACATGTGAGGTGATGGATTCTGCATAGGGCTGTAGTTGTTTGGCGAGAAATTTGGCTAGGTTTTGTAGAGGTGAGCCTATGGAGCTGACTATGGGTCTAAGTGGGGTTCCTTCTTTGTGTATCTTGGGGAGACTATAGAGTTTAGGGCATCTGGATGATTTCTCTCTGGGAATGATTCTTTGCTGGATCTCTTTGCTGATGGGGGAGGCTTTTATTTTGGATCTAGTGGTTTTTTTCCAGGTAGGTGGTGGGATCTGTGTTTAGGGTTTGTATGTGGAGTCTTGGAGTAGGTTGGTTAATTTGGTTTGGTAGTCAGATGTGTTCATA